TTGTACTTTCCCTAATTATCAGGAGCTTTCTCAAGGGAAGATCTATGAGAGTTTCGTTGCATGTGCACAAAATACTTCGTAATAATTAATTTTCTCAGATTCTACCTTCGGCCGTAGTCATCTAGTTGTTGCTGCTTTGCATGCCATGTCTCCATACAGAGTCGCTGTCGGACAACGTATGTTCAAGTAATTTAAAAGTATGGAGAGCTAAAATTTGAAACCCTGGCCCTATTTACGACTATAAGTCAACGGAACATGGAGAAAAAAATATCAAAGCAATTTTATTAGTCGGCAAAAGGTATTTTCTGCTGGTTGTTGCCTAGATTATCTTGTCACGTTTGACTTAAAAATCCCTTCTTATAGGATCACTTTCAGATCTTAGTTCAGTAAAATCCACTCAAATATTGGGAACGGCCATAAATAGTATGATATAGGGGAACAGTGAGTAGGCACTGGCTCGGAAATTCTGCGTTAACAGTCTAAACTGGTTTTCAAAAGAATGGACTTATCAATGTATGGTTGACTGCAGATCGAGTTCCCAATCGAGCTAGACATTGGACTTTATAAAAAGCTACCTTTCCTTAAACAAACGCGCGCATAAAAGCAAATTTTATTGTCCAGTTTGACATGCAAAGGTACTACAGGGATCCTGAAATCGTTTGAGGTGAAATCATAGTGCTTTTGAGACTTTACAGATGACAAGATAAGGACGCAAGTGAGTGAATTTTCTCCTCAATCGTACATGTATAAGCGAACTGCTAAATGTCATATTTTAGTTTAGAACAGGATTATAACCGTATGTGTGATAAAAATAGCACGCGTGTTCTAATAAGGTATGAGACATGGGTATCAAAAAGAGAACAGCTTTGCTAGAGAGGGCCTTATTTATACTATGTCTTGGCCGTGAAACAAATCTAACCGCACCATGGACGATCTAGACCGGATTGCACGTCTCAGTCAGTCAAATTTTAAGGTTTGCCAACATCGGACTTAAAATATTAAGTAAGTATAAATAATTTGACCAGCCAATAGGCATTAGTTAAACATATAATTTAACTAAGATTAAGCAAATAAGTAACCAACATGTGACGTAGGAAAATTGACCAACAAGAAAAGGATATTGTTTTGCTTAAAAATATGCTAGGAAGCCATACAACGTTTCAAATAAGTCCGCACGTGAACAGCCTGCGAGACTGCTTATTTAAAATTTGCTTCACGAGACAATTTTCAAAGCACATTGGATACCCTTAGCTGGAATTCTAAGCATATCAAAGTCCTACATTTTTATTTCTTTAAATGGACTTTAAATCCACTTAGGCAACTAAGCTTTCTCCCTCCAACATTTCGTTATCTTGCATTTATCAATTTAATGTTAAGGAAACTAGCTGGAGGCGTTGAACGTTCTCCGTTGCTTATCTAATCTTCGAAAACCATTTTAAACGTTTAATTTTAGTTCCTGTTGAACACTTAGGAATGCAATTAAGTGTCCATAATATGCATGCGCTAGGAGAGTGCATGTCGTCGTTTTTTCTTTATCATGACAGTGATGTTCAGTAATATTAGAGGACACATTATGATTGTTTGATTGTGCACTGCAAACCAGTTTTAGTCTAACCCTAGGCCATCTCATCGCGACGAGTAATCAATGGCCGAAAGTTATAATGAAGTAGGGAAATGCGTCTTCATTTTTCAATCCAAGTAAAACAAAGATTATAGACATAATCGAGTTCGGGGCTATTATCGCTGGTACTAACCCCCCTTTATTTGAGCGCGGCCGCTCACAAGTTGTAAAACATCATAAAAAGCGTAAGACAGTAAAACTGGATGTGATGGGTAGGTTGTGTTCAAGTCTTGCGGGTGGACCTTGTGCGTGAGAGACATGGGGGAAGACAGAGGCTAAATGACACCTACTCACTGCAGCGCAGTATGGTGTTAACTACCTGGTACATTTGAAGAGTGACTTGTAAAATCCTCTCGTGTGCAAATGCGATTGGTCTTGTACGCTGTTTCAATTTCTAAGCAATTCATAGGGGAGTCGGAGCTTTGCAAGTAATTTGATCATTTCATTAAGCGCTAAATACTTTCAAATTAGACAGGCTCCAACCCTCTTATCTTTACTCGATCTAATCACAGGAGCAAATCAACTATAACATCCCGTTTGACCCTCCTTTGCCTTTTTAACAGTCTTACAAGTCGAAAAAAGGCATACGCAGCTGCATGCGAGATCATTGAGTCCGATGCTAGCATGAAACCTCGTTTCGTTTACAATCAAAGGTTTGTTAAACCTCAGACATAACTATTCAAACTTTCGAAGAAGAAGATGCGATCACTGGAACAAGGACTTTATTTTCCTGACGT